AAATTAAGGAAAGAAAAATGCAAGAACAATAACATGGAGGAGAGGAGAAAAAAACTAGAAGGAGTGAAACGGAGAGAAACGGAGACAATTGCGGGTCTGTTACTGGGACACTCCGACACCCATGGACTGACACAGCATGTCTTAAAGCTGTGCTCACTCTTAAAAGAAGCTGTTTCTTCATGTTGACAAAACGCATTTATTTATTTCTGCGTCCGATCATTTATTTCCTTATTTATATGTATCAGGGGCAAACTCGGCTCCTCCGAAAAACCAACAAACGACAATGACGGCGCTCCCCCTTTGGATGCTCTTTTAATACCACAGCAGAAAGAGAAAAAAAATCAAACCGCTCTCAAACAAATTGATGTACTCTTTAATACAGTCGTCACATCATCACAGGGTCCTCGCGTCGTCTGCCTTGGTGACAACTGCAGGGCTGCTTAGCTTAGCCATGGCTACTGCTTTGTTGGTCGCTTCAATGATTTATCACAAAAAAGAGAGAAAAAAGGAAGGAGAGAGGGAGAGAGAGAAAGAAAAGAAGGGCCTCTCGATTGAGTCATTGGCACCTTTGATTGACAAGGCCTAATCAGCTTATCTGGGTGCTAATAAAGATGATGGCCTGTGGAGACACTCTCTACCTGGCTCTGCGTGAACTTTGGGCCCTGGTGAGGGCCCCGGGGGCCAGGCCCCGACCCACTCTGCTTATCTAAACACTGCTGAAATCAATCCCTAATGAGCTGGTTTCATTTGGCCCCATCGATCTGCTGGCGCGCCGGCTTCTGCTGCGCATTCAAAGGCCACCGTACGGACACTGCTTCTCTTTCGTTCATTTCGGACACACCATTCTGTTTCATTTGGATTAATTCACAGATTTGGGGGTCAACTGTCAGTCAGCAATTAAATATTTCTAATTACACATATCTGAAAGTATGTTACAAATGCTATTATGTGAACTATTTTATTACTTTTAGACATGTCCAAAAATATTCTATCAAGGTACTTTATGCTATAAATTTAGGATTTTAATATGGAGCCTGATCATTCTAAAAAATACTACATTTACAAAATAAAATTCTAACATACACAACAAAATTCACATTTACAAAATCCAATTTGTAAGTTCAAAGCACAAATCAGAAATATGCAAATCCAATTTGTAAATTAAAAACACAATTTAAAAATATGCAAATATAATTTGTTAACTCAAAACAGAATTCAAAAATATACAAATTTGATTTGTAAATTTAAAACACAATTCGAAAAACGCAAACAAAATTCATAAATTCAAAACATGATTCAAAAGCAAACAAATCCAATTCGTAAATTTAAAACACAATTAAAAAATACACAGATCCAATTCATTTGGCGAAACAATTTACAAATTTATCTTGTGAATTCACGAATTGTGTTTAAATTCACAAACTGAGTTTTGTAAATGAGAAAAGTGCTGTGCATATATAAATTTTCATTTTGGAAAATGTAACATTTTTGAGACTGATCTGGCTCCATACTTAACTAGTAAAAACATTTTAAAAGTGTACATATTAAAGTTGAACATGGAAGTAAGGTTATGAGTAATGAGTAAATTAAAGATTTTCTAGAAACTTTCAATGATTAAATTGTTTTCACCGAAAATAAATATACATCGTTAAATTCTTTTTAATGTTATACAAATCATTTTAAACTTTACATTTGAAGAAAGTATTAATATAAACACACAATGTAAATATGTGTGCATAAGTACTTAGTACAATTTCTATATCTAACAGAGACTTTTTAGTACATTATTTAATGTACTCAATTGACCTATATTACATACACACAAATATAGTGTAGTAAACATATTCAATATGAAATGTTATGTGTGTGTATACAGTATGCATACATATCTTTTTTTTTTTTTTTAACAATCCCAAATGTGACTTGAAAAAACATATTTAAACCCCTTAGGTATTTCTTTTCCAGCATACAAAACATCTTTTGCCCACTTCCTGGGTTTTCACAAACAGTCGGGCACCTCTTTGATTAGGGTTGATTTAACGCTCGTGGGCTCTGGGACATCTCTGATTTAAATGCCTTTAAATTGGCTGCTTTGCTTCCTCCTACTGTACTCCAGGCTCTCTTCAGGCCGGCGTGCCTCTGGTTCAGGCAGCTTTAAAGTGGGTGCCCTCTCCTAATGAAGACCCATACTTTATTTATGAGACAAACAGTTTGGTAAAAAGCTCTGCATGTCCAGAGAGCACTCTCAATATCTCTCAGAGGGCCTGGAGTGCTCCTGACATGCTACTACTGGACTGAATGCACCATACGCTAAAATCACCCTTAAAAACACACAAACGCACACTTGTAGTTCTCCAACTGATGGTGTAGACGGGTAATTAAAACATCAGATACAAAAAAATACACTACAAAAATGGGGAATTCTTGCATCATGATTAAAAAAAATACTGTATAATAACATTCAACATTTCTTATAAAAAAAAAAACAAATAAATTTTTTTTTTTGGTTAATAAGAATTAAATATTATAAAAACTTAAATATATGTCTTGTAATTAAACTTTTAAAAAATTACTACTACTACTACTACTACTACTACTACTACTAATAATAATAATAATAATAATAATAATAACAACAGAAATAATAAATATAATAATCATAATAATAACGACAACAACAACGACGATGACAACAACAACAACAACAACAACAATAATAATAATAATAATAACAATAATAACAATAAATATTATATTAATAATATAAATAATACATTTTATAATAACAACAACAATAGTAATAATAATGATAAAAAATATTATATTAATAATAATATTCATAAAAACTAACAAAATATAATATTATATTAACAACAACAACAACAACAATAATAAATAATATATTATTATATTATTATTAATAATAATAATAACAATCGCAATAATAATAACAATAACAATATTATTAATAACAATAATAATAACCACAACAATATTAATAATAATAATAAACATTATATTAACAACAACAACAATAATAAATATTATATTAGTAATAATAACAATAATAATATTATTCATAATAACAATAACAAAATTTGATAAATATTATATTAACAACAACAACAAAAACAACAACAACAACAATAATAATAATAATAATAATAATAATAATAACAATAAATATTATATTAATAATAATAATAATAATACAATATTAATATTAATGTATATAATGAATAAAGTATGATGAATTAATAAATTCTGTACAGTTCATTAAAAGTTCGTTATAAATATTATATTATATTATATTATATTATATTATATTATATTATATTATATTATATTATATTATATTATATTATATTATATTATATCATATCATATCATATCATATTATATTATATTATATTTAATAGCAAAACGATATTTAGAATTGGTTTTAGTTTTATTGCAAAATAGCAGAAGCCGGAGCTCCATAGCCGCCGCTAAAGCAAGTGTGGTTTGCCGCTCGAGTGAATTTGAACACACGGTCCATAAACTGGCCGATCCGCCTCAGTGTGACACAAGGAGCGAGGGTCAGCGCCGCAGCCCAAACAAAGCGCAAACAATTCCCTGTATCTCCACAACAGCCACTGAAGCGGCTCGGTGTTTACCCGACTCTGCGCGGGCCTTTTGCTACATGTTGCACACGGTTGCTGTGCCCAAATCCCAAAAGTACAGGCTTTGTCCTTCTTGGAGCACTTGAGTTTAGGACTACCTGCCGCTCTGCTTTTAAGACGCAGGTGTGAGAGTGTGTGTTGGGGTGGTCGGTGGGTACGAGGGTCAGGGATTAGGATCACAGGAGTGCAGACGCGCAGGCCGAGTTGCGCTTTAACGCGGTTAGAGAAGGGCTGAGTAAACAGGCATTGTTCTGCGCTTGCGGCTCCCACACTGAGAGCAGTGGAAGCGCTGAGGCATTGTGACAGAAAGCAGAAGCCGTCCTTTATGAAGGGAAAAACTCCTCTCACAGGGGGTCTGATCCAGTCATTGCAGTGTACGGGTTTCCGCTTTGGTAACTACTAAAAAAAATGATAATAAAAAAAAAAAATAGACAATTCAATTGGGCAGACATAAGCCAAAAAATATGTCTGAATAGAAGAAAAACAAAAGGCCCTCATTCGGCAAATACCAAAAAAAAAAGAAACGGAGAAATGAAATAGCAGCTTGAGAGGATCCAAAATAAATGAAACTAAATTTTTCAGCAGAGGATGCAGATTGCATTTATGAATTTGTGAGTTGTTCTTGCGAGACATCAAACGCCAGTGGTCTGCGCAACCCTTTCTTGATTTGAATTATTAACTCCGTCGACGTGGCGCGCGAGCCACCCTGCCATTATAGTGTAAATTAACAAACTTTTCAAAACTAAGGCAGAAGCCAAAGAAAGCCAGTAGCTTCTTGAAGAACGAGCTTTGATACGTCTCTGAGGAATACACTCTGCCTCAACAACACACGGTGACAAAAAAAAAAAAAGATGCCTGCAGATTTAATCCATTTCAGATCTAAATTAGTTCATTTTTCTTGTATTTAAAGATGAAAACTAACCTTCAGACAGGTGCGAATCGAGGGCTTTATTTAGAAATGGGTTTATTAAAAGATCTTGGTCTTTATTTAGCTCGAAATGTTGCAGGACGTTACAGGCAGGCTGTTGTTGTTGTTTATTCTAGTCGACACGCCATCATTTGGTACCCATAATAAAAACTCTCTCTCTCTCTCTCTCTCAGACACACACACAGGTAGGTGAATGGAAATCAGGCGGTGTGTTTTGTGTGAGCTGAACAGTACTGCGGCTGCTGCTCTACACCTCTCTCTCCGTTGCTTCTCTTTGATGTGCTCCTGAAAATGTCACCAGTCGTCAAGGCGTTTTTTTTTATTTTTCTCTCTCTCTCTCTCTCTCTTAGCGCGCATACGAGCTAGACAATTTACTGTCGCTCACCCCCCCCGCTACCCAGAATGCCTACCGGTTTCCACTGCTATCTGGTAGCCAGCTTCCAGCCTCCGAGATGACCTTTCCAGCCTCTCTGTGTTGTCCAACAGATGTGCTCTCTGAAACGCAAACCACAGATGGAAAGAAAACAATGAGAGTGATTGAGAACACCAGGACGTTATTTACAGAGAGATTTTCAACACTTAATAATAGGCACACACTAAGACAAAAGGGTATAGACCACTTAGTTTTAATTTAACGTATACGTTGATTTAACAACATCTAATTACGAGTTGCGTTTTCATAACAAATTGGACTGATCTTCGTGCAAATTCCAAAGGAAAAAAGGACGGAGCTCCAATCTAACACCTTTCCTTCTTTTTAATTGAGACTTCCTTTTTTTGCTGCACTGGCTTTGTTCTGAAGGTGTTGCCAGATCTCATTACCTCACATTTAAAACCAGGGCAAAGATTAGCATGGGAGGGATGGCTAATTGAGCTGTAATATATTTTCAAATGCTGCTTCGCATTATCCAATATCTGTTAGTTTGAGAAGTTCAGGATGCCACCGTGAACCCCTGTTAGGCTGACTTTTCTATTTGTTGTGAGTGTAGACACTCTAAACACTTCACGCAGGTTGAATGTTGCAAGGGTCACAGTAAATAATGCAAGCCAAACATTTTCAAGGAAAACTTCTTCAGTCCTGTGTCCAGGTACACGTGTACTTTATAAAGTCAAAGTCATAAATATAAGATGAAAATAAACATCATGGTCAAGTGCTAGATATATTAATATTGCAAATCATGGGGAAAATGCATATGTCCTTCGAATTAAGATGAAATAATAATTTTAAAAATAAGAAAATACATATATAAATTCAATCATTACAATATACCCAATTATTGCAATAGCTCCGGTTTCCCCCACAGTCCAAAGACATGTGGTATAGGTGAATTGGATAAACTAAATTTTCCATAGCAGCTGGAAGGGCTGTGTAAAACATTTGCTGGATATGTGGTTCATTCCACTGTGATGACCCCTGATGAATAAAGGGACTAAGCTGAAAGAAAATGAATGAATGAATGAATGAATGAATGAATGAATGAATGAATGAATGAATGAATGAACGAATGAATGAATAATTATTAACAGCAAAGCTGGATTTTCAGCAACACAACTCTAGTTTTTAGTTCAGTTTAAGTCACGTGATACTTCAGAAATCACTCCGACTGATTAAAAATAGGTTATTAAGTTGTATTATCAGTTACATCAGTTACGTTATGTCTATTGACAGCTGAAAATTGTGAGACAGTTTTTAGAAATGTTTGAACAATTAAAATAATGGGATTAATTAATAGTGTAATTAAAGTACTGATATTATTTAATGTACTCATGACAGGGTAAGGGTCAGGATTTAATTTTGATTTACTGCATGTAATTGTGCATAATTATTACTATAGTATACTTGAATTACTTTATGGTCACACCTGATCTATTTCAATGCCTGCTTGCCAGAAAAAGGATCTACTGTGTGCATTCTTTTAAAAGTCTTACAGACCACAAACACTACACTCTCAGAATTAAAGGTACAGGAGCTGTCACTGGGGCAGCACCTTTTCAAAAGATACATATTTGTACCTAAAGAGACCACATGTGCTACTTCAAAGGTACATAATAGTACCCAAATGCACCTTAAATGTCCCAATATGGTCCTTTAAGGTACCGATAGGGTCCATTAAAGTACCAATATTTGCTCTTTAGGTACAAATATGTAACTTTTAAGAAGGTACTGCCTCAGTTACAGCTCATGTACCTTTATTTCTAAAAGTGTATATATAAACAATAATATAACAATAAAACAATAAATGTTGATTTTAAGTTTATTAGTCACAGCACAGCGGCATCAGACACATTTTGCAGTGCAGTGCGTTTTATTAATATGTTTGTGTTGTGTAAAAATGCAGCACGTTTTATTATTATGTTGGTGCATTGTGTTTTCTTAAATTGCAGCATGTTAAGCTCTGTCAGCCAGGGTAAGAAACAGACACCTCATCCATGCATAAAAATGACCAGGAATACAATACAGTGGTAATCAAAAAATTTTACAAATTACATTTACATACAAAAAGTCTCCCTAAAACCTTGTGTGGTCCAGTGTGAGTTCTGAGTACACTCCTAAAATTACAGGTTGTAGTAAGAAGGATAGTAGTTCTTTAGATTGTTTAAATATTCTTTAGACTATAAAAAAGGGTTTGAATAGTTTTTCGAAGAACCAAATTGTTTTTTTTTCTACGGCATTGCTGCAAAAACTCATTTGAAACCCTTACTGTGCATCTTGTGCTTCAATGGGAGAACAACTATCAATGCAGATTTGTTTCTATGATTAAAATTGCAAATGTATAGTTACTTCACTGCTTAGAAATCATCCAGAACCTGATTCCTTTCACATCACATGCCACAATTTCCCACAATTATAAACTTCCCTAAAAACTTTTTGCTCTCAAACTTTTGAACCCCCGAGTAGTTACCCTAAACTAGGTTTTATGTACCCCAATTCTGATAAGCCATATAATTTATGACTGTGAACACCAAATTAAACCACTGCATTTCCATTCGTAAACACCATTTCTAAAGGACATTAACCTTTATTCCTATTTACATGCAAGGAAAGAATAAAGAAACGGAGGGGGAAAAAATGAGTTTCCAGTTCTAGTTAAGCTGTCAAAATATGTAGCGGCTAATCACTCCGAGGAAATGAAATGAAAAATAGACGACATTCCACTTTTCAAAGTTTGACAATCACAGAGAAGGGAAAGAGGGAGAGAGAGAGAGAAAAAACTGTATGTCTGAACTTTTTTTTTCTTCTCTTCCTCTCAGTTGACAGATGTCATTTAAAATAGCTGAAATACTTTTAATAGTTTAAGGGAGGGGGTGTTAGTGGGAGATAGAGGGAGGGAGAGAGAGAAAAAGGGAGAGAGAGAGAGAGAGAGAGAGAGAAAGAGGAGAGAACGGGGGTGGGAGTGCGTATGGGGAAAAGGGAGCCATCTCTGCCTAATGAGCCCCTCTGGATCAGCTGAGATGGAGGGGACGTATTGACATGCACCGCTTAAACTAATACACCTAGACCAGGGATGTGCCTGTGTGCCTGGAAGCACAAGGCAGCCGGGGATACTGACAGAGTAGCTCGCTCCCCCGTCTTCAAAGAGCTCAAGTGATTAGTATGTTATCATTACCATTCGAAACGTGATTTTCCTATTCCCTCTCGGCAAAGGTGACACGTCTCGGGGAGACGGCCAGCAGACTCGCGCGCCGGAAAGCCACTTCAAAGCTTTTTCTTGAATTTCTCTCCCTCGTTCGTTCTCACTCCCTCAGTACGGTCTCTTTTTGGATGGGAGGGGGGGATGTTGATGTCTATTGTGCGAGTGTGTGGGGTTTGCGGGGGAATAGAGGTGACACACGCTGAAGGTGGCCACGCAGGTGCAGTGACGACAACAGAGAGGAGAAGGAAAACGGGAAAGAGTCGCCTATCAGAACGAATTATCGGGCTGCCGTGGAATTGTTTTCGTTAAACATCCGACATGTTGATCCCAACGCATTCGCGAGTTGCACCAAAAACATGTAGACATTATATTTGTACATTTCAAATATTTAAACTAAAAGTCCAAGGAAACAAACATAAATTGTAGGAACAACTGAAAAACAAACTAATAAAAAAAAACATATTTTTGGGGAGCCTTACAATCACATTGTCACACTAAAAAATTCTGGGTTCCACCGAATTCCTTCATGTTTTCCTTACACAAATCAATTAAGTTAACTTAATCCTTAATCCTAAAAAATTTAAGTGGATTGAACATTAAACAAATAAGTTGTCCCAAAAAAAAAAAAACTAACAATTGTGTTGGTTTAACTAATTTATGTAAGCAGTAAGAACAAGCAGCAAAAGTCATTTTTGACAGCATATTTTATCTAATATTATAATTTGATTTGATATTTTTTAACGTACATTTCATTTAGATAAAATGTATACATTAAGGCAGATGGGTTTGTCCAAATTTGAACCAAATTTGAGTTGTAACAACCCAGCATTGCGGTAAAATTTAGGGGGTTTAACAGGGTTATTGTAGGGTTTGTTGTTTTTGAACTGGTTTTGTGAATGGCACACATTCTATTGATCAAGAAAGCACCAGAGAGGGCATGCATTGCATAAAGCCCTTATATAGAGACTGTTTGGGGATATTCTATGCAATAGACTAACCATGTGGTCAAATAGACGCTAATTTAGATTCACTTTCAAATTCCCTAAAGTTACGTTTACGTTAATACCAACAATCTGACAAATAAGATTGTTCAGAGAGCTTCTGCTGTGCGTACAAATAATCAACATAATTATTATTAATTATTAAAAATTTTGCACAAAAAAAAAAATGGCAAAAAAGTGAAAGAACCACCTGTGTGTGTGTGTGTGTGTGTGTGTGTGTGTGTGTGTGTGTGTGTGTGTGTGTGTGTGTGTGTGTGTGTGTGTGTGTGCGCTTGTACATACATTTACTATATCAGCTCTTAGAGACCTAAGAGAACTCAATTTCTTGAATCATTTGTTATTACAGTGTCATCACAGTGTTATTAGTTATTAGATTCTCTCTTTTTAAGTCATATAGAGACCAAAACCACAATGCAACATCTCAAAAATGGTAAATTTCTAAAAAATCAATCGATCAATTTAATAAATTAATAATTTAATAATTGAATAATCGATCTATATTTGGCTCTATTCAAACTGTATAACATCAAACAAAACTGAATAAAAGAAGCACCTGTTAGTTTCTTGATTTATTCCCAACTAGAGCAGCAAGATAGTCAAAATAATCTTGGATTGTGTAAATCATGATGTACAAAAACAAAAACTATTGCTTCTTTAAACTAATTTAAAATGTGTTGTAGAAGTTTTTTGGGGGGGACAAATAGTTCTTTTATATTTAATCCACATGAATTTGTCAAAATGATTAAGTTAACTAAATCTATTTGTGGTGGGGTTAACAAGAAGAAATTGTGTGGAACCCAGCATTTTTAGTGTATGAACAAAAGCACTAGGATGGCTATCACCTACCAAAACTGATATATTGCTACTCCATATTTGTAAGCAAATGCTTTATTGGCAGGATAAACGTGTATACAATTTCAGATATTCAGAACAAAAATCCCTGTAGATGTATTTCAACTCTACAGACCAAAATGGCCTAAAACCCTCAATGTTTTTTCTTGATTTATTCATTATCAGAGTCGCAAGTCTGTCAAATGTATTTCTTTTTTATCTTTCGAAGACTTCAAGTATAGGTACAGTGATGACAACAGTACAGAGAGGGCGATCTCCTGAAAACCTGAAAGAATGGTCTTTCAAAACGAATTATCTTGCCACTGCGGATTTGTTCTCATTACACGTCAAGCGCATGCATCCATAAGGTGTAACAAAGCACATTTAGACAGAACATATCAGACAAGATATTTAAAACAAAAAGCCCTGGATGCGTATCACTCATCCTCACAGACCAAACTGACCTGAATAAAAGCAATCTCTTCATTTCTTGATTTATTCACTATTAGAGCAGCAGGACTGTCAAAATTGTCTTTCTTTTTTCAGTTTTATAGAGTTCAACAGAAGCTTCTTTTAAAGAGGGCATGATAAATATTGGTGCGTCTGCGACCGCCTCTGCACGCGCCCCATCTCATTTGTGCCAATGCATGTATGCCTTTTTATCTGACACCTACTTTCTCTACAAAGACGTTCTTAGATACTATAAACGAGAATTTCTTTTTTGCTTTTTTTTATTCTTTCGTGAAGAACCGCACTTCAGTTGTAAGTTATTAACGTGGAACCCAGGAACAATGCGAATGCGACTCAAAAGAATTGTCTTCCCTTTCCCTCTCCTTTTTTCAATATCAAACACGAACGCTTACAATCGCAATTTTCAAAAGTTTTGATGATTCCTTATTATTTCGAATGGGGAGGGGGTGGTGGTGGTATAGTCAAAGTGAATAATGATGACAGCTATGATTCAGACTGACTATGTGATCTTCTTCACCGTTTGTTTGGGACTTGTAAGAAAAGGAATTACAAGTGTCAAACAGCTGTGAATACGGGTGCTAAATATTTAAACATGTTTTCCAGCTGAGGAAAAGTACAGTTTTTAAAAAGCAGGCTAAGTGTGTATAAGCTGCGCTGGCTTTGATTTAAATTCAGTAAAATGGGAGAAGGAGAAATATATAGATATATAGATTTGAAAGTTACACATTTTGAGGTTGGAAAAAAGACGGTGGTTGTTGAACCCATTGAAAATATCTTCTGACCCAAGGCTGGATATAAAAAAACTATATTCCCATTTTGTGTGGTCAAGGTAGGTTGGTGAGAACGGAGTACTGAAAAGGGTCTGTAAATTATAAATATAGGACGGTGGTGTTGCTCGACAAATGGGATTATTCAGCAATAGGAAGTGAAGAAACCTAAACAATATACTGATACACAGAGACAAGACTCTCCAAACCAGGAGCACTACTGAATTTCTTGTCTTATATAAGCTATGAGGATCTTCCAGCATGAGTTGTATTGTTTACTTCAACGTTTCTAGTGTAGCTTTGAGATGGGGAAGAGCAAAGATTAAAAAAAAATCTGATTTGTATTATTACACTTAAATTTAGATTGTTTTTTGTGCAGTACATAACAGGATGACATATTTACATTAGTAGTGAATTAATAAAATGACACACTTGTCTTTTTATTTTCTTAAGATGACAGAAGGAAAGATAAGGTTTTTCATTTTCTCTCTATAAACACTTAATGCGTCTTTACAATTTCTTCGAGATGTAAAAGATCAGAAATTTGCATTGTAAATACGGTTATCTTCAAAGATAAGCAATCACTTGCTAAACATCTTTACAAAGGCAGGCAGAAGCATGATGCTGTGCTATCCAGTCCTCCACTGAGAGGAGGCTTTCTTTATGAATGAAGATCTTCAGATATTGTAGTCTGTGTGTGTGCATGTGTCTATGAATAGGGGAATCCCAAGTCCAAACAACAAAACACACAAGACAGACACACATGCGCTACAGCCTAGACAGAAGATGAAGATACTAACGAGTAAATACTAGCACATGCATATCGAGACGATGGACTGGCTTTTTGCCATAATCCATGCATGTTTACCTTCCTAAATACAAAAAGACATTACAAATCGCTGCCTTATCTTGGATTAAAAGACAGGCTATTGTGTTTTCATCCGCTGAATGGGGAAATGTATGTGGGCTTCTTTCTAATGTCGCACAAAGACATCTCGGGAGTTGGTAAATCCACAACTGTGTCATATTTAGAGCAATCTGTGCTAATAAAATACCAGCAAAAGCTGAACAAGCGATAAAAGGTTGAAACATTGTTTGTTTTAAATATTGTAAATACAAATTTAGGAGTTAAAAAAAATACATTGGTTTATGAGGTTATAGCATACTTGTAGTATAGTAACAGTATAGTAATAACATAATAACATATATACCAGTTTGGGGTCTGTGTGAATTATTGTTATTGAAATAAGTTTTTTGTGCTTAGCAGGACTGCATTTATTTAATTATAAATGCAAAAAAACTGCAATGTTGTGAAATAATATTACAATTTAAAGTGACCAATTTTTCATTTAAATACATTTAAAATGCTGTTTATTTCTGTGATAGCTGTAAAAGCTGCATTTTCACTCTTTAATGATATTAAAAATCAAATAAGATCATTTGCATGAGTGCAAGTAACATCTCTTATAGCAAATAATGAAAACAAATCTGTTTTAGCATTGTAAATGTCGTTAAGGTGGAATTAGATAAAATTATGTTTTTAAAATAAAATGACCAATGTTTGTTGTTAAAAATAGTCAAATGAACTTCTAACAAACACTTTACATATTATATCCTCCAGTTTGACTATTGCGAATGATCACATTGTGTACTGATGCTGAAACGACATTATGTGAAGCGCTAATATACATTTTACCATTTTATGTACAGCGTAACATTTTATCCTACACAAAAGTGACAGTTTTTACTTGAAAATTCACAAAGAAAACGTTAAACACTGTAGCCTTTCAGTTCTTGTAAACTTTTGAGCAAACTATCTTTATTCTAAAAGACCATTTTTATCTAAGCCTTACGCGGCTAAAAATATATTCATCATTACGCCATCATTATATATATACAAATATATATATCTTTGCATTAGAAAAACCTTTTGGATGTAATGATGACGTAATGATGAAGGGTTTGTTTTTAGCTGTGTAAGGCTTAAATAAAAATGGTGATTGTGAATGAAGATAAGAGTTTGATCAAAGTTTTACGAGAACTTAAAGGTTACAGTGCTTCACGTTTCTTTGTGAATTTCCAACTAAAAACTGTACAAAAGTTGAATTGGATGAAATCAGGTGAAGTGGAAACTAATGCATTTCATATAATTTAATCTATTTCCCATCTAATTACAAAATATAATTAAAGTTGGAGGTATTTTGACAAAATTCCGACATAATTAATTTTGCTTGGATTTTATATATATATATATATATATATATATATATATATATATATATATATATATATATATATATATATATATATATATGCACACTATACACTACACACAGCTAAAACCGCATGTCTTCATAAACACAGCGAAAGTTTATTAAATAATATTTAATTTAAAAGAAAAATAGCCATTTGGTCAGAATATTAACAGTATATTTTTCACTAAATTTGTGAACATTTCATCAAAACACCAAGTCATAAGAGAAAATTCCTACATATTAACAGTACATAACAGGGCTGTATATTTACTGACTTTTAGAGTGCACTAAAAACATCAACGTTTACAAAAAACAAACCAATCAACCTCAATATTCGACTAATGCTGGTTGAATAGTCGACCATTGCGATCTATCACTAAAAGAGAATAAAAGCTTATCCAGATCCCCCCTCTCTTTTTATCATAACAGCATGTCTCATTGCGTTTTCATATTGGGTGAATGTTTTGACAAGCTGATTAAATCTTTTAAGGTTTGGTGCGAAACAGCTTTGATTCAGTTCCTCATAGAGCAGTATGTAGAAATGAGCCTCATTTTGAGCTCAATCAAAAGAGACTTCAAAATCAGATTAGGCCCTTTTTTATTCTGTCGACGCGGGGAAATGAATGGAGGATCGGCAGGAAAAAGAGGGGACTGAAATGGGAAGGAAGAGCAGCACTTACCTCTTCACGCAACTTTATCAACTGCCACATGAAGGCACAAAATAGAGGGAGGGAGGGAGAAAAAAAAAGAGAGGGAGGGAGAAAAAGAGAGTGAGAGAAAGATAGATAAAAAGCCGAGACATGGCAGGAAGCAGATCAGTCATGCGGCTGGGTACAGAATTAACCTTGACGATTTATCTGTTTGCATGTTTAGCATTTAGAAATCACAGACAAACACATTAAAAGAAGCTAAACACGAGACTCATGCCGACTTTTTTGAACAAACAAAGATCAAGTTCTTGCGCTGTCACATTAAACAAAGAGACTGGGAATGGATTTCTCAACTCACGACGTCTAAACTATCATCATCAAGGAAGAGGGGGAGAGAAACAGTCACATCACAGCACTTGATATGGCATAAGGGGGGGAAAAACACTCAGTCGGTACAGTAGGATAATACCGATTGCATACAGTACCAATGGAAGCTTTGAGGATTTAGGCTTCTTAACAACAACTCTGCAGGATTCCTACTTGTGGGCTAAGAAACAGAAAGTGACACCCTGCAATGTTGCTTTATATTATTACTGAAAATGTGGCCATCACTTCTGACTCTCTGTTGTGACTGTATTATGCATTAGGCCTATGGGGGTGAATGTATATAAACATAAAGCCAAGCGGGTGCATCTTATTGGAGCCATCCTACCATCGCATGGGCTATTTATTTTTGATGAAAGGGAATCGCATACTAAAACAAGTAAAGCAGAGAACGCGTGTCTTGCTGTGGCCTTTGAATGCTTTCTGAAAATTTAAACAATCAAATGCATTAAGGCTTGGCACTGTAGGCAAAAACACACCACTGGGATTTTTGGCTTCTCATCTGTTTTTCAAGTGTTTATTTTATTGTTTAGGTTTAATGTAAAGAAAATGTTTTTTAAAAAAATTGAAGCGTTTTTTATTTGGTTGTTGTTATTTTTGTCAGTACATGTCTGTCTTGTATTGCCCTAGTATTTTTGCAGGATATGTCATAATGACAGATCTTTCTTTTAGGCTAAAATTCATTCAAATATTAAGTAAAGATCATGTTCCATAAACATATTTTGTGCATTTCCTACCATAACTGTATCAAAACCTATTTTTTTTAGCAATACACATTGCTGAGCACTTAATTTGGACAACTTTAACTGTCTGCTCTACCAAATGGTTTAAATATTGACTGTTAAAGTCGATTAAAGAATGACTGTTTTAAATTATGGCTTACATAGAGCATTGTTTGCTTACAAGAAAACCAAACAAATGGAATCAGAAATATTTTATGGCTCACTTCAAAAAATAAAGATGATTTAATGTTCAAAAACATTTTATTTTGATTAAATAAATTGGTCATACAGTTCATATTTTCATATTTTTCATAGTTTATGTATTAATTCTGGTACTTTTACTATAAACCGACATCAACCTCTACCAAATGGTTGATTTTTTTAATGCATTGAGTGTGTTATCTAGCAACATTAGAGGTTAACAAATGCAATTCAATTGCTTTTTTTTTTTTGTGGAGCAGTTAATGGGTTAATGATGGTTTTCTAAATATTTAGATTTTTTTTTTAACCCACAAATTTCAGATTTCCAAATAGATGCTTCTCAACCAAAAACTGACCAATTCAAACCAACCATACATCAATGAAAAGCTAATTTATTTGGCTTTAATAAGACATTTAAAACAATTCCAAATGTGCAAAAATGAACTCTTATGGCCTTTTGTAGTCCATGATCACACATTATTAAAGGCCATTTTCTCTAATTATGCATTTTCTCCAGCACAGAGTCATAAATTTCCAATTCAGCTGCATTTACATACACTAAACTTTTTACAGTTTTATTCACATCCATATTCCGATGGTTTTTACACAGGGATATATTCATATGCAATTTGTCTGATTATATACAATAGGGCTGGATGATATTGAAAAAATTATAGCATTGAAATGTTTTGTTATACTGCTAAATGAATACAGTTTCAACAGATGACTAAAACACCTATATTTGGAATTAATTCATTATTTTAGATTGATTGGGAAGATTCCATTTAGGAGTGATAAAATCTGATAAACAAATTAAATGCTATAGATAAACACAATAAAGATAAACACTGTTTTTCAAGTCTAATCGTACTCAGGTACAGCAATTGAAAAATAAATAATTTAATAAAATGAATCATTATTAAAGTAAAAAAAGTTAGAATTTATTATGCTTGAATGCTTTTAAAATCCCCATACAGTCACAGGCATCAAAAAACTATAATCCAGACTCAACATTGCATATCCTGCGATGCGACTTTGGAATTATTACATTGTGATACTGATGCTGAAAAGATATATTGTGCAGCGCTACTATACAAATGCAGTCAGAATTATTAGCCCCCCTTTGAATTTTTTTCTTCTTTTTTAAATATTTCCCAAATGATGTATAACAGAGCAAGGACAATTTTACAGTATGTCAGATAATATTCTTTTCTGCTGGAGAAAGTTTTATTTGTTTTAGTTTTTTTGCCTAGAATAAAAGAAATTTTGTATTTTTTTAAGGTCAAAATTATTAGCCCCTTTAAGCTAAAAATATCTAGTCAAATATTTTTTACTGTCATCATGGCAAAGATAAAATAACTCAGTTATTATAAATGAGTTATTAAAACTATTATGTTTAAAAATGTGTTTTTTAAAAAAAAATCTTCTCTCCGTTAAACAGAAATTGGAAAAAAAAATAAACAGGGGGCTAAAATTCAGGGGAAATAATAATTTTGGCATCAACTGTACATTTTATGTACAGAATTTAAAAAAATTTCTACAAGAAAGTAACAATTTCTGCTTGTTTGCAGTATTTTCTGAATTATAGAGTGATAAAATGAGATTCCTAAATCCCCTCTTTAAAACCCATCGACTCTAATATGTAAACATGTATTTTAAACATGACTTAATCCAACTCGACAATGTTTGACATGACATTAATGTTATTGAATAATGCCTCGTTTGCAGCTTTGTACGTAAAATTTCTAAAGAATACTTCTATATAATACTAATACTAATAACTTCTGCCATTCTAAATCAACTGCAGAAGTATGGTAATAACTATTAGTCCTTTTTTCACCCCGTTCACCCGCAGTGCCCTGCTTTAAGCATTTAAAGCAGCTCTTCATTACAGTCTCTTTATGTAACACAAGCGTTCTCTGCAGAAGGTGAGTTGCTTATCTGCAGTACGCAACATATTCAGAAGAGGAGGGGAAGGACAAGTTTCTTAATTTGTCAGCCGTTGCAGGTGATTTTTTAATCTCCATTTCTTGCCAGAGATTAAAGGTTAGCAGATCTAAGGGGAAGCTCTGGGCCATTATTAAAGGCCTCTCATCTCTTTTTGTGTGCGCTGGTCATTTTGAATTTCGCCATTTTTAAATCATTCGCTATCATATCAGAAAAGAGACAGAGCTCGGATCATAAATTATAAACTTAATACCTGACTAAAAAGGCTGAATGCATGGGCGTGATGTTAAACTGTGGTGGAGGCTGCTGTGAACCAAATGTTCCACAAGGATAAATCGTCTTCTCCCACGTGCTGTGGCTTCACAACAAAGCAATGGCCACGGCTCCATTTAAAGCATGCTGGTAAATCTAAGATGCAATGCTTTTTTGTTTGTTTTACAGTAGATAACTAACTAACTAACTAGCTAACTAACTAATTACACAATTAGGATTTAAAGAAAAGGAATATGAGCAACAATTGAACTATTTTATTTACACTATAAAACAAAAGCAGTTCAATTTAGTTAAAACATTTTAGTAAAAAGTCTTTGTGTAAGAAAGGGAAAGAAATTACAAATATCTGAATAACACTATAAACGTGATACAGCAAAAACCAAAATCAAGTAAAATAATAATAAAAAAAACACAACATTAAAATATAAAAAATATATAAAAAACATAATAATGTTAGGAAGATGACTTCTAGTAAAATAAAAAGAGAATAAGAATAAATTATTAAACGTACACTTTAATCCAAATAAAGAGTATGTTTCAGTATTATGCAGGGACAATATTAAGTATAGATTAGGATTCATACTGTTATTAAAACGAACAATTAAATATACTTATAAACTTAATTTGTGCTTAATTGAATTAAAAAGCTTAATTAATTCCCCCAAGACTATAGTGATGCTTAAAGAAGAATTTGTGATATATTTGAAGATATTAAGAGAGATGAAAAGCCAAAAAGCAAGACATTTATATGCGCCATTAGAGGATTTTGGTTTCATATTTTGAGAACTTGAACTCCCCTGCTTCTTTTTTTCTTCATCATTTATTTTATTTGTTAATTTGATTTATTTATATATGTGTATTGTTATTAATGAGGATGCAAAGATTGTGAATGTAAGTAAATTGATAGTTATCTCAGTCTTTTGTATAATATCACAAAGTATTAATGTCTTTCTGTTATTGTTCAAGCATTGTTAAATAAAAAAGCTTAATCATGCAACAAAAAGCTAAAAGTAAAACTTCTAAATAATTAAACATTAATAAGTCTAAAAGTAAATATAACTTAAATATAACTTAAATATTACAAAAAAGATTAACTAAATTCCTCAAAAAGCTATTATAATGCTGTGATTAAAAAAATAATGCATTTTTAAAAATTATAGTCAAAGTTAGCAATTACATTCAATTAAATAAGCAAAAATTAAAATAGAAATGAACCTTCAACATTAAAAAGAAAAGAAAAACAATAGAAGTTCTACCACCCGAATCAAGAAGCAAGTCGGGCCACATTGCAGCTCCTAGCTGTGTATTATTTTTGTTGAAGCTAGCTTCCCTACGTTGCCTGCATTATTTAAAAGGCCAAAGTTTGTGAATACACTATAGAAGTGGCTATTTAGGTTTGCTGTGAGCCCACCCGAGCTAAACACAACCCTGCAGACCGTCTCAATGAACACCAAACAAACCTTGTTCTATCATATTTGTGCTGCTTGGACGATTGCGAGCCCTTGCAGAGGATTTACCAAGAGA